CGACGGATGCGACGGATGCGATCGATCTTTTCCTAATTGGGATATGAACCACAAACGGTCAGGGTTCATCCGGGTCCCACAACGTACTAATTCTACCACATGGTAAAAAATTCCATAATTCAGTAATTCTACCTCTAACTAGATGTGCAAGTCTCCTAAAATTTGAAGGTTACTCGAGACGAAGTCACGAGTAGCCATTTTGTCACGAGACCCGTAACAATAATTCCGACCTGCAGGTGCAGTGATCTGCATCACTGATGGCAGGGGTTAACCACGTGTTAGGGGGTGATGATTAGTAAGAAGGAAAAATAGTATTTATAGTGGTATCTTAAGTCGTGTATTTGCTTTTTTGCTTTGCTGTTGCTTGACTCAAGGGGTCTAGCTATATTGAATACGTGCAATAATAAACTACATAAACTACATAAATCAAAGTGATACTATCATGTATAAGCATGAGTTTTATCAAAGACCACATGGAAGGAAGTTTTATTTTGTTAGTTCAGGAGGTTCAGGATGAGTCCATCTCAACAGATACAGGTTTTAGAAATAGTCTGGATTAGGGATAGAAATTGGTTTAGTCAATTACTATGTTTAGTCAACTAATTAGTTGACTAAACATAGTAGTTTATTATATAAAATTTTTAGTTGATTAAACCAATTTCAATCCCTAGTCTGAATAGACTGATCCTTAATACATTAAGAATACTTTGCAGTGTGGAAGGGTTGTCAAGTTCAGGGTCAAAGAAGGATCTTGTGAAAAGGTTCGCATCAAGAATGTTAAGCAAGATTAAAGGAAAGGCTGAAGAAGTTAATAATGTGTTGCTGATAAATGAAGAATAGGAGATTCAGGTGGATGAAAGACTGAGAAGAAAGATTGGTAGGAGGGACACTAGTTGTATGAATAGGTGGAATGAGTATTTGAATACAGGAACAAATAGAATTGTAAAGAAGACATTCCAGGAAATAAAACAGGTGTGGAGAAATGCATAGAAGAAAAGAGATTTATGATACTAAAAAAGTTGTTGAAAAAGTTACTATAAGTTACATTGTCTAAGGTGGTAGAGAAAATGAAGCAGAGTTTGTTGGTAATAAGAAACTAAGATGAGGATCATTGTTAGTCAGAAATAAAAATAAAGAGACTAAGAGACTAGTTTAAGTATGATAAATAGAGAAAAATAAGAAAGGAATTAAATGAAGCATTATAGTCAAAGTCTCTAGAGCTAGTGATAAGAGCTTGTGAAATAGCATATACTCATGCATATACCTTGTGAGTAGTGAATAAAAAAGGTTAAAACATAGCATCAGAATTGAATAACACTATTATTAATGACACTATTGAAACAGCACTAAAAGAAAAATTAGTGTTAGCAAGACAGTCAATATGAAATAAAAGAAGAAGACTAGATAGTACAAGAGGAGGCATTGCTTGTATAATTTTTAGTTACAGTAGAATAGAAACTTGCAAAGGAGATATACTAGTTATAAATCATTGGCAAATCAGAACAATATAGCCTATAAGTGCAGAAACTTGGTGACATATAGCCATGTCAAAAACTTATGCAGTTACATCAAAAGTGCTGTAGCAGACGTATGTCATAATAGCTAACATTCGTCATAACTAAAGTTTTGGATATAACTCTGAAATTAGACATGATGTAAGATATAATATATGTAATATTGACTTTGAGTTTAAATAAAAAGTTTATTTATGATAAAAAATAAATAAATAAATAAATCGTACAAAGGTTAAAAATAAATTCTTTTTAATAAAAAATAAAAAATTAATCAAACATGAATTAAAAATAAATTATTAATAAAAATTGTGGATCAAATAGAAAGTTTGCAATATGTCTTTAGTTGAACCAAATTTTAGTACTTCTACACTGCTAGAATTTATACAATCAGAATCAGAAACCAACTATGTTCTTTCACAAAAAAAAATTAGAAAAGGTGGCCCTGCCTTCAATGAAGTGTGAGACTATGTAATTAAGGGTGAAAAAGTAAATCCTGAACATTACAAGGCAGAATATTTTTTATAGTGGAACATCCTAGCAGAGAGATAGATCTTATGTTTTAAGATCCCATCTTTCACTTTATTGTCAGAATATATCTAAAGATATTTGACGATATTGGGTTAATAAACTTGCAGAAGAAAATAATTCTCATAAAAGAGATTCTTAATTACAAGTAACTTTATCATCGCAAGCCAATATTAATTATGATAAACTTATTTTAAAAACTTAGATAATGGCAAATATCTCATTTGAAGTAATTAAGAATCCTTATATTAGAAATCTCTTTAAAAATCTTAATTCAGCATATGTATTGCCATCTTGTACAATATTATCTGAACGATTGTTAGATGAAAAAGTTGCATATGTGCAAAATACTATCAATAATGAATTAAAATATGCAGAACACTTAACATTAAGTATGCTTTATTAAATTTTATTTATTTATTGCAGTTTCAAAAAGTATTAAATCAATTAACATTTCATATAAAAATCATTAGTACTCAATGGGTGGACTTCAAAATGTGGAGAATCATTGTACAATTATATTGTAATAACTACAGAACGAAAAAAGTATCTTGTTTTATTATGTGACTATTTAGCAGAATCACATACTAGCAATTTTATAACTTTAGAAATTCTGAATATTATTGAGCAAATCGGATCTAAAAAATTTGCAGCTGTTGTTACAGACTCAGCAGCAAATCTTCAATCTGCCAAAGAAAAAGTATATAAAAAATATCTACACATACTAAATCTTAGATGTATTGCTCATGCTATTAATTTAATGGCAACAGATTTGACAAAACTTCATGAAATAAAGTTATTTATTGATCAATATGAAAAAGTTATCACATATTTTAACAAATTTTATCAAAAACTGGCTTTATTATGACAAGGATTAAAAATTATGAAAGTAAGGTCTGAAGGCTTAGAAGCATGGTGTAAAATATGTTGAAAATCTTTATATAATACCACAAATTCGATATTACTTGCACGACCTGTATTTGATTGAGTAGTCTTTTTTTATTATTTTAATATATTGACAATTAAATTAATTTACTAATATAAATATTAATATTATCATTATATAGATTTTTCTTGAACATTCAAATATAATAACAAATATGAAAATTTTTAATTTATTACATAGTAAAGAATTTTTTTCTACATGCTGGCAAATTTGATCAATATAGAGCCTTATAAAAACTTGTATTAATATTCTAGAATCTGGTTCAGCAACTTTTGCTAACTGTTTTATATATATGATAAAGTTAGCAGTTGCTATATATCAGATTTCTGAATCTAACTAAGCTAAACCTATTGCAATCCAAATATTTAATCGATGATATATAGAATTTCAAAACCCATTATACCTTTTATATTATTTTCTTCATCTATTTTATCATGGTACAAACCTTAATATTTATTTTTATTCAGTTAAATTTTAAATATTTGACATTATTATTATTTTTAATAATACTTTATTTATTTATTTATTTAGAATCAGATCTTTGAAATAAGGCATTTCATAATGCTCAATAATAGCATCAACATTATGAAAAGAATTAAGGCATTCTGAGCAAGAATGTAAAGAGCTTATTTCACAATTTTGCTATTTTGATGCTATAAAAAAGCCATTTGACCTACCATAT